TTTGAAAGTGCAATTTTTTGGCCAATTCCCCCCATTCCCAATTTAAAAATTCTTATAACCTTCAAGGATGTTGCTCAAAAGCTTTCTTTTTCTTCTCTTCTTTTTTTTTTTTTTTTTTTTTTTTTAATAATTTTATATTTATATTTAGGATGTGTGTGAGAGGTTGTGGAAGCTGTGGCGGCAAGTTTGCGCCCGCTTAGAACCCACAAGCCGAGGAGATATATTTTTTATTTTCTTGATTGATTTTTCTTTTTTTTTTTCCTTTTCTTTTTTTAATAAAAGCTTGAATGGTGGTTTTATTATTGGATGAAGCCATCAGAAAAAGCATGTATTATAAGTTTGTTGATTGTATTATAAGTTTTAATATCATTTTAGTTGGCATTTAAATTGTCGTTTAATTTTTATTTATGTTTTTTGTTTTTTTTGTTTAAGTGACATTGATAGAAAATTTAAATGGCTTTTCAAGAGCTATGAAGCGACTACCCAAGTAAGTGATGTATATGTAACAAATTAAAATTCAACTAATCCTTTTCAGAAAAAAAAAAAAAAAAAAAAAAAAAGAAGAAGAAGAACGATTGTTAGTTGCATATTTGATAGGCGCAGATTCGGCAGTCCAAATATTTGGAATCGCTAACTCTCTTTTAGAGGTAAGCAAGTCGGATTCATTAACCCGTTGAATTCGTTAAACTCGGTAAAAACTGTCCAGCTAGGACCGAACAAATAAATTCATCAATAGAATTGGGTCCTGAAATGAAGAAGATCTGCGGGTTTGGGTTTAAGAGGTGTTCAAGTTTGGGACTATTAGTGAAAACCCCCTCTAGCGTTTTTTTAATAATGATGAATCTAGTCACTTTTTCTTTATTAGTGATAAACCCAACTTTTATTTATGGGGAAATATGCAAAAACCCCCTTAAACCATAAATATTATGAGTTAAACCCATTTGATTTTTAAGACTTTTGCCCACATCCAAAGTCCAATCTTAATTAGTGAAACCCCCCTCAACAATTGTGATAAGACGAAACTACCCTTATCAGTAGTTTTTAAAATAATTGCAATATTTATTTTCCATAACCGTCTCACCTGATTGTAGGATTACATTAATTCTCTCCATATATCTCTCTTTCATTCTCTCTCTTTCTCACAAACCTTCTCTCTCGTTCTCTCTCTTTTTTTTTTTTTTTCTTCAGACCCATAATCCTCCACCACTCGCCAATGGAGTCCACTCAGCCGCACTCGCCGGCGCCGGGTTTCGATTCTCCTTCCGAAGACCGGATGAAAAAAGAGGAGAAAAATCAAGTTTTTGAGATGCAGCAGTTTTCATGCAGAGGCCAGATCAGAAGATCTAACCGTCGGATTGGTTTAATATTTTTATACAGGACTCATAACACATCAATATAACTTATGACCGATGAAGATTGGAATCAGACTTCTCTAAATATAGATCGAATCTTAAAACTCACTGCTGGTTTTTGTTACTTAATAATTCAGGGCAGCTAGATTGGACGCGTTTTTCGTGCAATTAAACCGTTGGATGTGGCCGAAATTTGGATAAATTATTCGGAGTATATATTTTTATATACTGTACGGAGGAGATTTAATTTCGTGCCCCCTAGCTCCGGATATAAATTGTGAAAGTATCACAATTTGGTGAGATTTTTTTTCATTTTTTAGTCTTCACTTTTAGAGATTTTCCATTTAAAATTTGTTGGGGTCATTTGTGTTTGATTTTGATATTCCAATTGTTGTTAATCAGTCAATTCTTTTTTTGTAAAGATGCAATTTGAGCATGAGAATGCAGTTGCAGCAACATGACTATAATCATATTCGAATATGACTATACTCGTATTTATGTATTTAGTTATTCGAATTGTAATTTATTTATTTATTTTGCGTTACTTGATATGTTAGTGTATGTTTCAATGTGTTTGTTGTGGCTGAATTGAATTCACGTAATGTTATGTGAATTGCATTTACAGAATAGTGCAGATTCATTCAGCAGAATAATTCACACAGTAGTCACATTCTCATGTTTTTTTGTAGTGTTGCATATCATGCCGTCAACCTTGATGATTGTGTTGAAGTATGGAGGGTCGTTTGGGGTGAAGATATGCCAGGTGATTTTGTGTATGAAGACCTCGTCGACTCCCGTCCCTCTCTCTCGTTATTTTTCTATCTTTATTTATGTTTTTCGATTTTTTTTTTCAGATCTGAACAGCAGTAGTAACATGACTATAGTCATATTCGCATATGACTATAGTCATATTTATGTATTTTTCGAATATGAGTGTAGTCATATTCGAATACGACTATTGTTGAATATGTTCTATCTTCTCGTTTTCAAGTTGACTTCTAATAACAAGATTCAAATTGTGATTTTTTGTGTGGATGTTGATTGAATTGTTTTCGTAAATAATAGGGAATCTTCGTTGTTTTATATGATTTGGTTAACATGACTATGCCATATAATCGGAATTTTTAAGTTCAAAATGTAAAAAACAACAATATAAAGAAAGAATATGACTACAGTTTATAGTCACATATAGTCATATTCAACCATAGTCATATTCGGCGTTGCAAACCTGTTGAGAAAAAAATTTCAATTTTTTGTTTAAAAACAGTTTAAAAAAAATTTAAAATAATATTTTTATTAAAAAATATTAAAAATAAAAATAAATAAAAATGACTAAATAAAGTCCAAAAATAATATAAAAAAAACGATTTTTTTTTTTGATTTGGTAGCAATTTTTTAGGAATTTGGAGTAGATTTTTAGGAATTAAATTGTTGTTATGGAAAGAGAGAAAAAAGGAATAACTGAGATAAATTATACTAGGAGCAGTTTTATTAGGGAAAGTATATAATTAAGCCTAATTAGCGGGATTAGATGCCTCATTAATAGGGATTTCGAAAATACTGGATAATTATAAAAAAAAACGTGATAGGTACTAGAGGGTAAGATTGGAAATAAATATTTTAGGGGGTTTTCACAAAGAAAGAATTATGGTATGGACATATCACTAGTTTTTATCTATAGGAGGAGTGTATTGCTAATGACCCCTTTATTTATTATCAAATTTACCCTTCCCTATTATTTGTTGCACATACCTTTTTTTATTTCTTTTCTATTTTCCATTTTAATTTTCTTTTTGTTTATTTAAAAAAATAGTTTTTTAAATAATTTTTTAAATATTTTTTAATAACTAAAAAATAATATTATTTTCAACATTTTTTTAGTTTCGTTTCTCCAAAATCAACCATAATATTTTCGAAATCGACTAAATTTTTTTCTGAAAATCAACTAAAAGATTCGTTTTTTTTTCTTTTTTCATATCATTTATTTTGAATCCAAAATGATTTTTTTCCCTAACTAATTTACCAAATTGACAAAATACTACATATTATTGAAATAACTACAAAAAATTAAAATCAACTAAAAATGTCGAAAACAACTAAAAATACATCAACTAATTTTTTAATTCATATTTTTTTATTTTTTTTTTCCAGCAGGTCATATAATTGGATAAAAAAAATTAAAAGTCAAAATCAACTACCAAAAACTTGAAAATCAACCAAAAAAGTCGAAAACAACTAAAACTATCAAAAACAACTAAAAGAAATAGCAAGATAACGAAAACAGCTATAAAAAATAGCCGAATAATAAAACAACTATTTTGCTGTAAAAATACCTAACATCAAAAGCATAAAAAAAAGAATCGAAAAAATCAGAACTATGGCGACGACAGGGCAGAGGCGGGGGCAGCAAAGTCTCTATATCGGCGGTGGAGTTGAGGGGTGGAGGTAGAGAGGGATTTTTGAGTTTTTGATGTCGTCTTCTACAACTAAATCGAGACCGGAGCGATTGCGGCGGCAGCGGGACGATAACTTCCGATATGGCGGCTTGGACATCAATGTTGAGGGAGTGGAGAGCGATACGAGCGCGTCCTTGAGGTTGTTCCTAAAGTCATTAGCTCATGCTATGCTTTTCAATGGTGGGTGGTGGAGGCTATGATGGAGTGGTTCTTTCCTTCACCATGGATTTATTCAGGAGAGAGAAAAGAGACGGAATGGGGTATGGAGAGAATGACAGAAATCAGAGAAAACAAGATGGAGGCGGTTGAATGGCGTAATAAAATTAGGGCAGATGTGAAATAATATAGCATTAAGGGCAAATTAGATATTATTCATAGCAATTTTAAAAAGAATAATTAAATTTAATAATTAAGGGGGGTTTGGCTAATATTGAAAAAGGGGTTATATCCACCCTAATATATGTAAATGATGTGGGGGGTTTTCACTAATTATCCCTTTATTTTAAATCTTGTCTTATAAAACTTTGAATTTATTTACTCCTTTTAATGAATTTATGGTTAGAGGGTGTTAATTTTGATTTCCTCTTGACATTTATCATTGATATTATTCACGATAGTTTCAATATAAGATTACGTTTGGTCATTCATTGTAATTTCTAAATAGTTTCGCGAAAAACTTATAAATTATTTTAAAAAATAACATCTTTTAATTATGATGGGTTTCGACCCGTGAATGTTGAGTTATACTATAAAACTGCGGTGGACCCGCCAATCATAAATCAGTCGAAAACCCAAAAATTTGATTCTTTTAAATCAAGAACCGTTGGTTGACAAAATTTAGGTGGTGTTTGCAAATGCTTTTTTAAAGTGATTATGCGGTTTTTTTTGCTCATAATCTGTTTTTAGGTGTTTGCAAAATCAACTTTTGCTTTTGCTTCTCTTAAAATAATCTGTTTTAAGCTATTTTTTAAAAGCACTCATAACCTTGCTTTTTCAATTTTAGTTCACTTTCCGAAATATTTGCAAACACCCCCAACTTTTAAAAATAAGCACTTAAAACTAACTTAAATCACAATCACTAACTTCTGCTTTTAAATAATCATTTGCAAACACCACCTTAGAGTGAGAACTATAATTTACCCCTTTTTTTTGTTTCAATCTGTATTTTCTCGGGGTACGTCCAAACACGAAAACCCCACCAAAATCTGCATTTGGTCTGAATATCTGTCGGTCCGAATGTCTCGAATGAAGTTACAAAACACAATAATCACTTTTACTCACAGATTATGATACAACTTTTTTTTACACGCTTGATAGTCTGATTCTACGGTGAAACAAAAATGAAATTACTCACAACAATGAACCGAAACAGACAATCAAACCGCTAACTTCCTTGTTCAATCGTGTAATCTGGACAAGGAAATCAAGAATCTTTATCTTTGATCAGAGTCCTAGGTAATCTGCTGTGCAAACTTTCGTCCACAATCTTATAATGCTTCGAAAACTTCCGATGAATAATCCCGGCACACCGATCTACTTGGTCTTCAAATCTGTTGTACAGAGCTGGTACTGTAACAGAAATAATGATCCCTGCTCACAAAAAAATAAAATAATGTAAGAAATTATACAAGTAAAAAGGTTGTACAGAAATAGCAATACCTATATACGCGAGCGTGAAGAAAGATATCAAGCTACCAATCACTGACAATAGCCACAAAGCAATCACAACCTGCAAATTTCATAAAGACTGTGAACTCGATGGTATAATACGAAAATAGCGCAAAGATGCATACGCGTGCCTAGTAAAACAGTAGTTTGGATGTTTTTGTTGTTTCGCGAGTGTCACACGGCAAAAAGCGCCAAAATTCACAAGATACGGGATTCAGGTATTAAACGACCAATGGAAGATATACTGAAAATGAGCCTCGGAAATACAAAACTATATCGTATTAATTTATGTCAATACGTTCAAAGAATTTGAACTTAATGCAACAACAAATTAGATATTTCATAGTTATTCTTGACCAAAATTCATTAAAATGGTAATGTTTAAGAATAAAATCCTCTACAATTTAAAAGAACTAAATAAAATAAAAGGAAAGTATAGCACCAATGGTATTTATCTATTTTCTCGGCATGCCACTGCAATTTGATGGAACTGATAACAGATAACTTCGTGTTTACTAACTAGTAGGGCTAAAGTAGGCTAAAAATTGCATCTTGATTAGACTTCTTTGTGCAGCTATTGACTACAAAAAAAAATACGTTGTCAATCTCATACATCAATTTTCACTAACCTTGAAAAAAAGTCGGAAATCTTTGCCAAGAGTGATGTCATGAGCCATAAGCAGCACGTAATTAACTTTGACACGAAACGACGCTGCAGCATTGTTTACCATTTCTTCTGATAGAAGTAGTTCTGGTAGATTTTCAAGTTGTCTGTGAACGAAAAATACATCAGATTGTTTCTATTTAGGACCCGAAAAAAATTGAAATTTAGGACATATCAGAGGTAGAATATCGCACTTGCTTCTATATACAGCATAGTTCGCCCGTAGAAACAGCAGAACAATTAAAACCAGCAACACGTCTGAACAAAGGGATAAAAATGATATCCCTGAGCGTTCAATTAACAGCCACGAAAAAGTGGCAACAACAACTATTCCACACGAAACCCAACGCCGCCTCCACAGTATGACATCAGCAGCTTAAAAACAGTCATAAGATCAGTGAACGGGGTATTTTAAGAAGAAAAAAAATATTCCTTTACATTCTATAAATCTTCGAGTGCTGCTACGGTTACAAAAGAAACAGAAAAATTCATTAAGAAAATGTCAGCAATTCAATAGAATATGCAGTATGTGTCAGATTACAGGCGGTTTCTTCTTCAGAACATAATTTTCTTATGCCATATTGCATTTTTTTAAAAAGACGCAGCCGCATCAAAGTTGACAGTATAATAGGTTATATTATACATAACAATGCAGTGAAATACGTACACACTTCACTACAAATATAAAGTAAGAGTATTCTGAAACCATTTGTACCCCATCAAAAAAATTTATATCATGATACATATTCAGTACAAATATCTTAGCAGCGTGACTGCAAAAAAAAAAAATCATAAACGAGGAGTTGGGGCGTGGGAGACTATTCTAATAACTGCACTTCAAAACTAAATCAAATTTCGGAAAATAATTTCATCGATCAAGTATAAATATATATATACCTTTTCCACCACCCACCATTTGATGAACACTAGTCCGACGGTCGAATAATTTGTACGATGAGCTCGTCGACGCCGGATCATCAATTCTTCCATCCCCGTTCGGCTCTACGCCGCACAAATCTTCTGAATACGAATTATCCATTTCTGCATTTCCCACAAACCATTAAGAGCCAAAAAAGAAAAGAAAAAAGATCAGCCCTAAAATTTATAAAAAAGAATACCACGACGAGAAACCGCAATCCTAATCTAAATCATAGCACAATTAACTGCACGACAATACAAAGGATTGAATTGCCAAAGAATAATTGATTGTTTCTCTTTTTTACTATTGTTAAATTATTAATTTCAACAGTTGAAATTGAAAAGTATGTCTGCTACGACAACCAACCAATCATCCTCGAGGAAAGTTACGGCGTCGCACAAAGCTTCATTCCTAACGATTTGTCTCTTCTATTCTTTGTCAAAAGCAAAAACAATTAATTATTAGACCAATTGAAAACCTCCAAAAGTTATTGTTTTATAACTTAGGTGTCGTTTTCGAAAAAAATTAATTATGTGTTTTCCTCTTTCCCCCTCACAATTCACTTTTTCATTGTTTTTAAATGCAATTATTGTTTTTAGTTTTCTTAAAATTAAAATAAATCACTTTACGCTATGATCAGAAAACATATCTTTAACACCTTGTTTTAGTCTCGCATTACACATTTATGTACATAATTGCAAAAGAAAAAAAAAACTATAATCTTTATACAATCAAAGTAACAAAGCTTCTAGATAAAATTTAGAGTTGTGTTAATATTAATATTTTTTTACTATTAAAAGTTAATCTAATCAACTTTCACAAATTTCATGTGTGACAAAAGCAGCAACATTAAATAGAGGGGGGTAAAAAAGAAAAAGGAAAAAAAAAACACAAAATAGTTGATAACTAGCAATTATTTTATACGAACAACCAAATTGCACTACTGAATTTGAAATCCCTAATCAATTCAGAAACCCTAATCACAATCGACTCACTATACTGGCAATATTTCTTCACTTGATCATATATAAATGATTGAAAGCAGAAGGGTATGTGCAAGATCCCCCTTTTCAGAAATAAACGAAGAAACCCTACCTTTTCCTCGTCGATTGATCGATTAAATGATTGTATTCCCGCCAAACAAAAGATTAACCCGCCATTTGAGCAAGCAAGAGGCAGAGAGATCGACAGATACTTAGAGAAATGTACAAATGGGAAGAAAATGAAATGAGGGGAGGAGGGAATGGCGAATATAATATTCGATTTTTGTTTTTTTTTTCCGAAAATCACATATATAATTACAATGTGCTATATAGTCTAGGGTAAACTACGAAAAACTCCCTAAACTTAGGCTAAATAATGAAAAGTACCCCGAACCTATTTTTAATTACCAAAAACCCCTTGAAGTTTGTTTCCGTCTTACACCAACCCCTTGCAGTGTGACTTTCATGGATTTTTTTTTTTTATTCTCGGGAATAGACTTTACGCAATTTGAGATATTTTCTCTTATTTCTCACATATTTAACAGAAGGTATAATAGACTGTATACATTTTCTGTTAAAAAAACTCGATCAACAGTTAACTAGAGGGGGATTTTGGTTATTACGGATAGGTGGGGTGTTTTCGTTATTTAGCCTAAGTTTGGGGGAGTTTCGTAATTTACCATATAATTTAGGTAGATAAAGAAAATAAGAAAAAAAATAAAGAATTGAATACTTTTCAATTCAATTTTGTTTAATTGTACCTTGAAAAAAAACGAATTACACACGTTGACCATTACAATTTACAATAAATAATGAATTTGGGAGATACATACATACATACATATAGCAAAGCATACAAAATACATACATATAGCAAAGCATGAAGAACTAAACACAACATAGTGACTCAATGTATTGAAATCCATTCACACTCGGAAACCTCAAAGAACCTTCACTTTCACCGCCCTCAAACTCGAACTCGTGCATCGTCTCGAAAGTCTTGCGAACGAGGTTGTACCGTACGACTTTCCCCGGTATCTGCAAAGCCAAGAATGAATCCTCCTCCTCATCACCGCGAACGAGAGTAATTATCGTAAACGCGTAGTAGTACCAATCCGTCGGTTCAAAATAATCGCAGATCATTTCGGGATAAGCATCAACAACGCGTGAAAGATCGACCCGATACTTGACAAACCACTCCGAATGATCCATCTTCATCTCGTGCACATCGAACTTGATTTGGGCCCCGAAGAACTCCACGTAGTGCAAGTGGCCGCACGACTCGCCGAAGTAGGAGTTTCTCCTCCAATCCCATTCGTCCGGGATTGGCGGCATCGGCATTATCTCGAGCGCTTGGCGCTCGAGATCGAAATAGCAAGAATTCGCGGTCCCGTTGCTGATCCAGTGGATGGCTCCATTCCAATACACACCTTTCTCGAAACCGACTTCGGCCGTATACGGGTCGCCCCATTTCCTCCATGGGCCTTTCTCGGACGAGTACACCGCAAATTGATATCGGTACTCGCCCGAGTCCGATTGCAATCTTCGGACACAAACGACGTTGTAATGAGGAGACTTTGCGGGATCGAAAGCCAACCTCATCCCGCACATTCTCTTCGAAACCCCACCTACTCCGTTTAATTTCGGAAGAGTTGAGAATTTCTTGGTGGTGGGATTATAGACGTAATATCTCTTATTACATTCACGGGCCGAGTTACTGCAGCAGAGCAAGAGCCCGTTGCACGATTGCAGAATCCTAACGCCACGTGGCTCGTCGTCGAAATCCAGCTTTTGAAACGGTGGATTGCTCGATTTGTTGATCGATAAGGGAGCGTAATCGTATGAAAGATTGACGTCGGGAGAAAGCAAGAAGAGGCCAACGACAGGATTGGGATTGGTGTTACGCATGAGGCAGAACCGCGGGTCGGTTACGAGGGAATGCCAGCGTTTGGATACTAGTTTGAAACGCACGAGTGATTTAATCGGGAGGCGGAGAAATATATCGATCAAGAGATCGTCGATGGAATTAACAATTTGAGCAGATGAATGCGCTCTTCTAAAGGCTTTGATATTGGTTTTCATGTTGGGAAGGATCAATCAAGATTTAGGTGTGTTATTGAATAATTTGGTTCTATAGTATTTAAAGTGTGTAGCTTTTTTTTTTTTTTTTTTTTTTAAGCTATAGATTGGTTTGGAAGCTATATGAATAATGGTTGACTAATCCAAATAATAGTATTGCAGAACAAGCTTGTTGGAAATTTTTTCAACATGATAACATACAAATGAATATTGTTTTCAAATTTGACTATTTTGGATGAATAATTTAAGAGAATTTAATTCTCCAAACTAATACAATTATTTTTTTGATTTTGTTAAGCTATATTTGTTTGGGGCTCTTTGAGAAAACCCCCTCATTATTTTTTTTAATTGAGGGAGGCCCAAAATATTTTAGTCCATTTGAGAAAAGTCCACACCCATTTTCAGCCTTTATACTTTCCAGCTTTGCCCCCACCCGCCACATCATCACTGGGTCACGCTCAGCAATTTTTTTTTTTTTTCCGTTTTTTTCTTAATCGACTATGAAGCATAGTCGATTAAGCCTTAATCGACTATGCTTCATAGTCGATTAAGGAAATTATTTAATTATTTATTTTTTTTTTGTTTTTAATTTTTTTTTTATAAACTATATATAACAAAAACAAAAAAATATACAAATATTATAAATGATTTATACAATTGAAAGTAATAAACAAAAAATCCAAAAAAAATAAAAAAAATTGGAGTCGGTGAACCTTAATCGACTACCAGAGCATAGTCGATTAGCTTAATCGACTATGAACATTTACATAGTCGATTAAGGTAACAGCCTGCGCGAAATTCTCTACACGCGCCTTCATCAGTTCAATCTACAAAAAAACCAAAAAACAGCCTCCCCATCGTCACCACACCACCCAGAGCTTTTGCCATGGCCGAACCCATCGGATTTTGAGCATGTTCAGTTCCACCAATTAAGAAAACTAATTTAAATTAATTTAATTTAATCCCCAAAGCAACACGCATGATTCCTCTTTCCCGCAGCTCCGGCACATCCTGCTGCTCGCCGCCGCTGAAATGCATCCGTCTCCGACGATGTTTGCGCCGTCCGATGCAGCGCTCTCCAAAACCGCCGCCGCCAGCAGACCCATCGCGTGGTGCAGACGGAAGACCGCGGTCGCGTGGGCCACGAGGATGTGGATCTCCCACAGGGGTTTGTCGGCGGGGAGCGGCGACGAGACGGCGAGATCCGCGATGAAATCGTTGACGGCGTCCTCGTCGGAGACGAGGGGATCGTCGGAGAGGGGGTGGTGGCGGACGATGACGTGGCGGTCAACGTCGACCTCGGTCCTCCGCCAGTACTCGCGGCCGCACGAGTCTCTTACCATGAGGCTGCATCACTGAGCTCCGGACTTCGGCTTTCACGGCGGCGACGTCGACGGAGAACGGAGAATCGACGGCGATTGCGACGTTGATGATTTGATCCATTTGCGGCTGCATTTTTTTATTTATTAGTTTTTAAAATTACTGTTTTATTAGATGTAGAGAGAGAGAGAGAGATAAGAGTGAGAATGTGATGTGGGTTGGTTGGGGGAAGAGGCTATAATTTAGGGGTAATAAGGGTGGTTTGGGTATAATTAAATAATATTTGGGTAGAATATTAGGTAAGGGGGTTTTCTCTAATTATTTTTGGGAGGGGGGGTTTTCTTAACTCATTTACCTAGATGAGGGGGGTATTGCTAATTATCCCTATTTGTTTTTCACGCTCTTTATATTTTTATATTATATATTTATATTTATATTTATTTGTTCATGGTTAATTGTAACTAAAGTGAAGTGTATTTAATTTTTAGTAAAGAAATATTAGACTAACTGTATCAATCAAATCATATTTAAATTAGGTCTAAATTTTTGGAATTGCTTTGGTGAACAGTTTTGATAACATTAACAAACACAAAGAGAGTGTTTGGCTAAGCTTATAAAATGTTAAAAATAGTTTATAAGATGTTTATCAGCTTATAAGCTCTTTCAAAGTGTTTCGTATTTTCAAAAAAAAAATCTTACTTAAAAAAAAAATCAATTTTAATAAATACCTCTAGACCACATTTCATTTAAGATTTTTTTTATAATTAACAAAAATAGCAAATAAGCTCATTATCCAAATACTTTAAAAATTAATTTTAAAAATAAGATGTAACGTAACATCTTATCAACTCTTAAACATCTTATCAAAAATAAAAGTTTATCGATTATATAAAATAAGTTTAGCCAAACGGGTCCTAAATTATTTTACCGTGTGATAATTACATTTTTAGTCTATATATTATACATTTTTTTCAATTTTGGTCCTTCAATATTTTCTGAGGATGATTATTGAAAATCCGCCAACTCATTAGGTATAATAAGGATGAATCCACCTCCTTCTGCTTTATTAGTGAAAACCCCCATATTATTTAATTAAATAAATATTTAGCAAATTAATATTTAATATACCAAATTTACCCTCACAAGCCATATATTTATAGATTTGTTGTTACGACAAACCCTATTTCTTTTTTCCCTCTCCATTTCTCTCCGCCAACCGTCTTCTTCATTTCTTCCGCCAGAACTTTTAAATTGTTCGTACTCCGCCGCGCGCTCTCGACCTCAGCCATCACCGCCTCTCTTCTCCACTACAAGAAAAAACTAGTTTTAGCGACCAAATATTTAGTGACAATGACAAAATAGTCGCTAAATATATACATATAGTCACCAATAATAATTTTGTTGCTGAAGTCAAGTTACTTAAGAAAAATAGCGACCAACCATGATTTGGTAGCTATAAATGGTCACTTTTGTTTGTCGAGCATTGACCAATTATACAGCGACCATGAATAGAATCTTTAGCGACTTGGTTTCAAATAGTCGTTGTAAGTAATATTAATAGTGATCAATCTAAGAGCAAAATATACAATGGTTGCTGAACTTTTTGTAGTGTCGTTAACAACCGATTAATTTGGTTGCTAATAATATTATCATAGCAACCACTTTTTACATGGTTGCTGCAACAAATTAGAACAATATATGACAAATTAAGTAATTATTTCATTTAAAATTTAATTTTAATTAAAAATGCATCTTGGTTAAAAAAGAACACGTAGTGTTTACAAAAATTAAGAATTTGAATTATAGAACTTGTTGTAAAGATTAACATATTTGAGTTAAAAATAATCAACTTCGACTCTAGTAAATATTTACTAAAAAAAATATTATACGAGTTAAAAACATTAATGAATTTCCTTATAAAATATTTTAATATTATTAAATATATTAGTAATGCTAGTAATTGAAACCCCCACTTTCAAAGTGCATACAATATCAGATGGAGATCGATCTACCATCAGTCTCAAGCTCTCCTTCTCCGAGAATGATAACCCGCGACTCCCGTCGGCCTTGTTGCATTGCAGTCAGGTTTCTCAAAATTCCAATCTTCAAATGCAAAATTATGAAATAATATAATTCTCCTTTGTCTATACCAAGTGTTTGAAATTATTTTATCATTCTTATTGACTGAAACTGAATCCTAAATGGAGATTGTTTAGAGTGAAGTTGATTTCTTAATTGTTACTTTTTTAGGTACTGGATAAAATTTAAACGGGACCAAATAACTATTTGGTGTAGATTTTGCTTGGTTAGGGTTTTAAATATTTTGGGGAAATTTTCGGGGCCATGTTTGTTATGTGTGTTCTTGCTTCGTCTTGATATGGGGATTGCTTATGTTAAGAACTATATGTATTATGTAATTTGTGCACCCGATTTTTATTGCACATAACACTGCTTCTGCAACTTGTTAAAATAGTTAATTTCACTCAATTGTGGTTTTTGTTTTGTCATTGGCGATTAATCCTGAGCCTATGGGTTTTTATATAAATGACTGTAGTAATAGTTATATGTCAAGCAATTGTAGTAGGATGAAATTATTGTTTGGGGATTTATTGTTGATTATTTTAGCACATTTGGCTTCTTCATTGCTCAAGTACAATTGTTTTTTCAGAATCGGCAAGAGAAATTGAGCAGTCTCTAGGTGTCCTATTAAATAAAAAGGCCATAACTTTCAAGGATTGTTTTTGTTTTGTTTCTTTCTTTTTTTGACAAGATGAAAAGATAAATGATTGAAAGCAGAAGGGTATGTGCAAGATCCCCTTTTTCAGAAACAAACGAAGAAACCCTACCTTTTCCTCGTCGATTGATCGATTAAATGATTGTATTCCCGCCAAGCAAAAGATTAACCCGCCATTTGAGCAAAGCAAGAGGCAGAGAGATCGATAAATATTTAGAGAAATGTACGAGGGGGAAGAAAATGAAATTAGGGGAGGAGGGAATGGCGAATATAATATTCGATTTTTATTTTTTTCCCCCGAAAATCACATATATAATTACAATGTGCTATATAGTCTAGGGTAAACTACGAAAAACTCCCTGAACTTAGGCTAAATAATGAAAAGTACCCCCCACCTATTCTTAATTACCAAAAACCCCTTGAAGTTTGTTTTCGTCTTATACAACCCCTTACAGTGTGACTTTCATGGATTTTTTTTATTCTCGGGAATAGACTTTACGCAATTTGAGATATTTTCTCTTATTTCTCACATATTTAACAGAAGGTATAATAGACTGTATACATTTTCTGTTAAAAAAACTCGATCAACAGTTAACTAGAGGGGGATTTTGGTTATTACGGATAGGTGGGGGTGTTTTCGTTATTTAGCCTAAGTTTGGGGGAGTTTCGTAATTTACCATATAATTTAGGTAGATAAAGAAAATAAGAAAAAAAATAAAGAATTGAATACTTTTCAATTCAATTTTGTTTAATTGTACCTTGAAGAAAAACGAATTACACACGTTGACCATTACAATTTACAATAAACAATGAATTTGGGAGATACATACATACACACATATAGCAAAGCATACAAAATACATACATATAGCATAGCATGAAGAACTAGACACAACATAGTGACTCAATGTATTGAAATCCATTCGCACTCGCATACCTCAAAGAACCTTCACTACTTTCACTGCCCTCGAACTCAAACTCGTGCATCGTCTCGAAACTCTTGCAAACGAGATTGTACCGTACGACTTTCCCCGGTATCTGCAAAGCCAAGAACGAATCCTCCTCCTCCTCACCGCGAACGAGAGTAAATATCATAAACGCATAGTAGTACCAATCCGTCGGATCAATATAATCGCGGATCATTTCGGGATAAGCATCAACAACGCGCGAAAGATCGACTCGGTACTTGACAAACCACTCCGAATGATCCATCTTCATCTCGTGCACATCGAACTTGATTAGCGGCCCGAAGAACTCCACGTAGTGCAAGTGGCCGCACGACTCGCCGAAGTAGGAGTTGCTCCTCCAATCCCATTCTTCCGGGATTGGCGGCATCGGCATTATCTCGAGCGCCTGGCGCTCGAGATCGAAATAGCAAGAATCCGTGGTCCCGTTGCTGATCCAGTGGATGGCTCCGTTCCAATACACCCCTGTCTCAAAAACGACTCCGGCCGTATACGGGTCGCCCCATTTCCTCCACGGGCCTTTCTCGGACGAGTAAACCGCGAATTGGTATCGGTACTCGCCAGAGTCCGATCGCAATCGCCGGACACAAACGACTTTGTAATGAGGAGACTTTGCGGGATCGAAAGCCAAATTCATCCCACACATTCTCTTCGATATCCCACCGACTCCATTTAATTTCGGAAGCGTCGAGAAATTCTTGGTGGTGGGATTATAGACGTAATATCTCTTATTACAATCACGGGCCGAGTTACTGCAGCAGAGCAAGAGCCCGTTGCACGATTGCAGAATCCTAACGCCACGTGGCTCGTCGTCGAAATCCAGCTTCCGAAACGGTGGATTGCCCGATTTGTTGATTGATAAGGAAACGTAATCATATGAAATACTGTCGGTGGGAGAAAGCAAGAAGAGTCCAACGGCCGGATTGGGATTAGTGTTACTGCGCATGAGGCAGAACTGCGGGTCGGTTACGAGGGAATGCCAGCGTTTGGATACTAGTTTGAAACGCACGAGTGATTTAATCGGGAGGCGGAGAAATATATCGATCAAGAGATCGTCGATGGAATTAACAATTTGAGCAGATGAATGCGCTCTTCTAAAGGCTTTGATATTGGTTTTCATGTTGGGAAGGATCAATCAAGATTTAGGTGTGTTATTGAATAATTTGGTTCTATAGTATTTAAAGTGTGTAGCTTTTTTTTTTTTTTTTTTTTTTTTTTTTTTTAAGCTATAGATTGCTTTGGAAGCTATATGAATAATGGTTGACTAATCCAAATAAGAGTATTGCATAACAAGCTTTTGATGGTGTGTCCCCATATTGCATAACAAGCTTTTGGATTTTTTTCAACATGATATTTTAGATATACAAATGATTATGGTTTCTTTTTTTTTGATAAATAACGATGATTATGGTTTCAAATTTGACTATTTTGGATGAATAATTTGAGAGAATTTAATTTTCCAAACTATTTGATTATGTCAAGTTTCACTTGTTTTTTCACACGTTTAATATTTTTATATTATATATAGTTATTTGTTCATGATTAATTATAATTAAAGTGATGTTTATTTGATTTTTAGTGAATACAATAATATTAGACTGTATCAATCAAATCATATTTAAATTAGATATAAACTTTTGGAATTGTTTTGATAACATTAATAAATACCGAAAGAGTGTTTGACTAAACTTATAAGATGTTAAACAAAGTTTATAAGATGTTTAAAAGTTTATAAGCTCTTCCAAAGTGTTTGGTATTTTTTTTTTTTAAATCTTAAAAAAAAAGATGTTGGAGAGCAAATAAGATCATTTTTAATAAGTATCTCTACATCATCTTTTTTATTTAAAATTTTATAATTAATAAAAATAGCAAATAAGCTCGTTATCCAAACATTTTTAAAAATAAAGATGCAACGCAACATTTTATCATCTCTTAAAACATGTTATCAGAAGTAAGAGCCTCATTCCGAACAATTTGTCTCTTCTATTCTTTGTCAAAAGCAAAAACAATTAATTATTAGACCAATTGAAAACCTCCAAAAGTTATTGTTTTATAAGTTAGGTGTCGTTTTCAAAAAAAAAATTAATTATGTGTTTTCCTCTCTCCCCTCATAATTCACTTTTTCATTGTTTTTAAATGCAATTATTGTTTTTAGTTTTCTTAAAATTAAAATAAATCACTTTACGCTATGATCAGAAAACATATCTTTAACACCCTGTTTTAGTCTTGCATTACACATTCATGTACATAATTGCAAAAAAAAAAAACTGTAATCTTTCTACATTCAAAGTAACAAAGCTTCTAGATAAAATTTAGAGTTGTTTTAATATTTATAATTTTTTTACCATTAAAAGTTAATCTAATATAATTTGACAAAATTCATGTACATAGAGGGGGGTAAAAAAAAAACACAAAATAGTTTATAACTAGCAATTATTTTATACAAACAACCAAATTGAACTACTGAATTTGCAATCCCTAATCAATTCATAGACCCTAATCACAATCGACTCACTATATTGGCAATATTTCTTCACTTGATAATATATAAATGATTATCAGGATATATATATAAAAATGATTGTAAGCAGAAGGGTATGTGCAAGATCCCCTTTTTCGGAAATAAACAAAGAAACCCTACCTTTTCCTCGTCGATTGATCGATTAAATGATTGTATTCCCGCCAAACAAAAGATTAACCCGCCATTTGAGCAAGCAAGAGGCAGAGAGATCGATCGATATTTAGAGAAAGGTGCAAGGGGGAATAAAATGAAATGAGGGGAGGAGGGAACGGCGAATATAATATTCGATTTTTATTTTTCTTTCCCCGAAAATCACATATATAATTACAATGTGCTATATAGTTTAGGGTAAATTACGAAAAACTCCCTTAACTTAGGCTAAGTAATGAAAAATACCCCTACCTATTCGTAATTACCAAAAACCCATTGAAGTTTGTTTCCGTCTTACACCAACCCCTTACAGTATGACTTTCCTGGATTTTTTTTTTATTCCCGGGAATAGACTTTATGCAATTTCAGATATTTTCTCTTATTTTTCACTTATTATCGATCAGTTAATTGGAAGGGGGTTTCGGTTATTATCGATAGGTGGTGGGGGTGTTTTCGTTATGTAGCCTAAGTTCAGGGATTTTTTTCTAATTTACCCTATATTTTAGGTAGGTAACGAAAAGAAGAAGAAAAATTAAAAGGATTGAATACTTTTCGATTCAATTTTGTTTAATTGTACCTTGAAGAAAAACAAATTACACACGTTGACCATTACAATTTACAACAAATAATGAATTTGGGAGATACATACATACATATAAGCAAAGCATACAAAAATACATACATTTAGCAAAGCATGAAGAACTAACTAGACACAACATAGTGACTCAATGTATTGAAATCCATTCGCACACGGAAACCTCAAAGAACCTTCAATTTCCCCGCCCTCGAACTCGAACTCGTGCATCGTCTCGAAAGTCTCGCAAACGAGGTTGTACCGTACGACTTTCCCCGGTATTTGCAAAGCCAAGAACGAATCCTCCTCCTCCTCACCGCGAACGAGAGTAAATATCGTAAACGCGTAGTAGTCCCAATCCGTCGGTTCAAAATAATCGCAGATCATTTCGGGATAAGCATCGACAACGAGCGAGAGATCGACTCGGTACTTGACAAACCACTCGGAATGATCCATCTTCATCTCGTGTACATCGAACTTAATTTGCGCCCCGAATAACTCCACGTAGTGCAAGTGGCCGCACGACTCGCCGAAGTAAGAGTAGCTTCTCCAATCCCCTTCTTCTGGGATTGGCGGCATCGGCATTATCTCGAGCGCTCGGCGCTCGAGATCGAAATAGCAAGAATTTGCGGTCCTGTTGCTGATCCAGTGGATGGCTCCGTTCCAATACACCCCTTTCTCGAAACCGACTTCGGCCGTATACGGGTCGCCCCATTTCCTCCACGAGCCTTTCTCGGACGAGTAAACCGCAAACTGGTATCGGTACTCGCCCGAGTCAGATTGCAATCTTCGGACACAAACGACTTTGTAATGAGGAGACTTTGCAGGATCGAAAGCCAAATTCATCCCGCACATTCTCTTCGAAATCCCACCGACTCCGTTCAATTTCGGAAGCGTCGAGAATTTCTTGGTGGTGGGATTATAGACGTAATATCTCTTATTACATTCACGGGCCGAGTTACTGCAGCAGAGCAATAGCCCGTTGCACGATCGCAGAATCCTAAAGCCACGTGGCTCGTCGTCGAAATCCAGCTTTCTAAACGGTGGATTGCTCGATTTGTTGATCGATAAGGGAACGTAATCGTATGAAAGATTGACGTCGGGAGAAATCAAGAAGAGGCCAACGGCAGGATTGGGATTGGGGTTACGCATGAGGCAGAACCGCGGGTCGGTTACGAGGGAATGCCAGCGTTTGGATACTAGTTTGATACGAACGAGTGATTTAATCGGGAGGCGGAGAAATATATCGATCAAGAGATCGTCGATGGAATTAACAATTTGAGCAGATGAATGCGCTCTTCTAAAGGCTTTGATATTGGTTTTCATGTTGGGAAGGATCAATCAAGATTTAGGTGTGTTATTGAATAATTGAATTTGGTTCTATAGTATTTAAAGTGTGTAGCTTTCTTTTTCTTTTTTTTTTTTTTTTAAGCTATAGATTGCTTTGGAAGCTATATGAATAATGGTTGACTAATCCAAATAATAGTATTGCAGAACAAGCTTGTTGAATTTTTTTTTCAATTTTGGTCCTTAAATATTTTCTGAGGATAATTATTGAAAATCCGCCAACTCATTAGGTATAATTAGGGCTGGGACTTGGTTGGTTTTTATCCACCAACCGACCCATTACCGACCATATTTTTAGGCGGATAATCAATTTTTAACCGACCCATTGGATCGGGTCGAAAATTTCAACCAACCCATCTATAATGGGTTGGTTGGTGGTTTCTAATATTATCAAAAGTTGGTTGACCGATAATTATCGGTTATCCAACTATACTATTAAAATTTTATTAAAATATAAAATAAAGCCCGTTTTCTCTTAAGTGGTTATTGAAATTATCAAAATAATTAGTATTTTAAATTTTAAAACAATCAACAAAGGAAACAATTTTGACATAAATCTTCCACCAGTTTCTTTATGCCAAAACTTAAACAAAGAGCCCAAAAAACTCCACTAAATCTCTTGTGCATGTTTGAAATTACTTTGAATTTCCTAATTATATTTTTTCTTCAAATTGTTATTAATTATTTGGAACAGATAAATAATGATCGCATCGCGGCATTATGCAAAATGTGGATGTTTTACTCCAAAATTTGATTTTTTTTTAAGTGAACTAGGTGGCGGGTATAAACCATCAACCGACCCATTCCGGAACCAAATATATGGTTGCCAACCATCAACCGACCCACAAATGTTGGGTCGGCAACGGTTTTCAAATTTGAGCAAAAATGGTTTGACGGATGGGTCGGTTTTTAGGTTGGTAATAGACCGACTCAACCCAGTCCCAGCCCTAGGTATAATAACTAATAACTAGATAAGGATGGATCCAACCTCCTTTTGCTTTATTAGTGAAAACCCCCCATATTATTTAATTAAATAAATATTTAGCAAATTAATATTTAATATACCAAATTTTCCCTCACAAGCCATATATTTATAGATTTGTTGTTACGACAAAACCCTATTTCTTTTTTCCCTCTCCATTTCTCTCCGCCAACCGTCTTCTTCATTTCTTCCGCCAGAACTTTCAAATTGTTCGTACTCCGCCGCGCGCTCTCGACCTCAGCCATCACCGCCTCTCTTCTCTTATTTCACGATACGAAAGCATGGGCGGCGCAGATCTGCTGGTGTTTTTTTGTGTTTTAGTTCTTCAATTTTTGGAAACATTTCTACAATTTTCGTCGACAAACTGCCTCCATCAATGAAATATGTTTTGTGTGTTTTGTGATTTCTTAAATTGTGCCGTTGAAAGAAGGGGATAAGGATTTCACTAGAAGTTCAAGGGTACAAGTACTACATTCAAATATAAGATGTATATTTCTTATTCCTACACTCACATCGTGGAAATATGTTATTATATGATGTCCTTGTCTATGTAATATATGTTGGAATATTGTCTTTGTGTATGAAAACTTTTGCTAGTGGTACTTAATAATTTGTCTTGTGGCTATTAAACGATTTTGTTGAAGAGTTGGGACGAATGTGAATTGGAGATCGAAGACGGTATTTTTATTGTTGTATTCGCTCAAATTTATAGTACTCTGGGTGGAATTGGAGGATTTTATTTGTAGTTAATTTTGACAATTTATAGTTGATTTCGATTCATTTACGTAGTTATTTTACGATAATTTTGTAGTTGTTTTTTATTTTTGTAGTTGAGTTTGATAAATTTTATTGTTGATTTCAACAATTTTGTAGTTGTTTTCGATAATTTTATAATTGGTAACATTTTCTATATTTGTTTTCGTTAATTTATAGTTGTTGTTTTTTTATTAAAGTTGTTTTTAGTTTTGGTAAACCTCGTATTGGAAAACGGCTATTTTTTGTGGTTTTTTTTAAGGGGTCTTTATAAATAAGCCCATCAATGGGTACTTATTTAGAAAGAGATCAAGATAAAAAACCTCTTTACCAATAAGTCCACACATGGTCCAGATTTTTGTAAAGGACTAAAATAACCCCTCATACTTTAATATGCTCTAATTTCATCATTAACTTTATTTAACCTCAATTTGACCCCAAATTTCACAAATTATTCAATTTTGACCCTAAACTTTTATTTTTTCAAAAAACAAAATTTTCCCGCCGGATTCCGGCGTTGACTTTTCATTTTTTTTTTCCTTCTTCCGGATTTTTCGCCGGTTTCCGACGTTGACTTTTTCGATTTTTTTTTTTGGTATTTTTTTTCTCTTCTTTTCTTTCTTTTTGTAACTTTTTTTTTCGTTTACACAACAATATTGCTGTGATTGACAGTAATATTAACTATCTTACTGTTAAACACAGTAAACTTAACTAAACTACAATTTAACACAGTAATATTGCTATATTAATCTCTAGCATAGTAATATTAACACAACAAAACTCATTATTATTGGGTAATAGAGTAATATTCCTATGTTAACCGTTCAACAAATGTAAACATAATAAAAAGCCAAAATAATTAATATTACTGTGAGTGACAATAATATTAATATAACAACAGTAATATTACCGTCAACCACAGTAATATTATTACGTTACTCCGTGAATAACTCAAACAAACAAAAAAATACAAACAAAATAATAATACTGACGTGGTTGACAACAATATTACTATACAACAGTAATATTACCGTCAACCACAGTAATATTATTTTGTTTACAGTAATATTACAATTATAGACAGTAATATTATTACGTTACTCCGTGAATAATTTAAACAAAGCAAAAACCCCAAAAAAATAATAATATTGATGTTGTTGACAATAATATTATTGTGTTTACAGTTATTTTACCGTGAACGACAGTAATATAATTACGTTGACTTGTCAACAAATCAAACAAAATAAAAAAAAAATAACAAAAAATAAAAAATAATAAAATTACGTTAATTTACTGTCAACGGCAGAACAATTACATAAATGTATTGTCAACGGCAGTATAATTACGTTAATTAACTATCATTGACAGTATAATTACGTTAATTTACTGTCAGTGACAGCTCAATTACGGTCAATGTTTAGCGACGAACGTAAAAAAAAAAAAAACAAAAAAAAACCTTAAAAAACTCTAAAAAAAGTCAACGCCAGAAACCGGCGAAAAAGTCCGGAAGAAAAGAGAAGAAAAAAGAAAAGAAAAAAAAAACGAAAAAGTCAACGCCGGAGAACGGCGAAAAATCCAAAAGAAAAAAAAATTGAAAAGTCAACGCCGGAATCCGGCCGAAAAAAAAAATTGAAAAAAAATTTTGGAAAAAAAAATGGGTTCAAAATTGAATAATTTGTGAAATTTGGGGTCAAATTAAGGTTAAATTAAGTTATGGATGAAATTTGAGCATATTAACAATTGGGTATAAAGGGTCGAGGGTAATATTGGGATATACATGAATGATTCCTTTATTTATAATAAATATTAAAGGGATGAGCTTATTGGTGAAAGAGATATAGCCCCTAAACCTAGAATAATAAAGATGTATGGTTGGGGACTTTATCACAAAAACCCCTTTTTTTAATAGTCTACTTTTTGTAGTTGTTTTACTCTTTTCTTATAGTTAATTTTGGTAAAAAAAACGAACAAAAAGAATAGTTGATTTCAGTAATTTCGTAATTGATTATGAAGGAAAAAAAAGACGTACAAAAGTCTGGAAATAAAAAAAATATATTATAGTTGATTTCGAAAATATTATAGTTGATTTCGGAAATATTATAGTTGATTATGAAGTTTTAGTAGTTAATTCAAATAAAATATCAAAAAAAATTTGAAAAAACGAAATAGTTTTTAAATATTTTTTTAAGTTATTTTTATTTTTTTAAATAAATATATAAAAAAACAAAATTTAAATTATAAATTAAAAAAAAATAAAGAAAAAGGCACCAAAATAGTGGGTAATGGATAGGAAATAAATGAAAGGTAAATTTGAGAATAAAAAAATGGTGATCTCTCACTAATAATGAAAAATGGGTTGGACTCATCTTTATTAAAATAAGGAGTTATATGACAAACACCCCCAAATTTTACTTATAAATCCTTTATTTATAAATGATTGTTCAGTATACATAAAAATGATTGAAAGCAGAAGAGTATGTGCAAGATCCTCTTTTTCAGAAACAAACGAAGAAACCCTACCTTTTCCTCGTCGATTGATCGATTAATTGATTGTATTCCCGCCAAACAAAAGATTAACCCGCCATTTGAGCAAAACAAGAGGCAGAGAGATCGATAAATATTTAGAGAAATGTACGAGGGGGAAGAAAATGAAATGAGGGGAGGAGGGAATGGCGAATATAATATTCGATTTTTATTTTTCTTTCCCCGAAAATCACATATATAATTACAATGTGCTATATAGTTTAGGGTAAATTACGAAAACACCCCTGAACTTAGGCTAAATAATGAAAAATACCCCCACCTATTCGTAATTACCAAAAACTCCTTGAAGTTTGTTTCCGTCTTACTCCAACCCCTTACAGTGTGACTTTCATGGATTTTTTTTTTTTCCGGGAATAGACTTTACAGAATTTCAGAAATAGGTGACTTTCATGGCGCTCGAGATCGAAATAGCAAGAATCCGTGGTCCCGTTGCTGATCCAGTGGATGGCTCCGTTCCAATACACCCCTGTCTCGAAAACGACTCCGGCCGTATACGGGTCGCCCCATTTCCTCCACGGGCCTTTCTCGGACGAGTAAACCGCGAATTGGTATCGGTACTCGCCAGAGTCCGATCGCAATCGCCGGACACAAACGACTTTGTAATGAGGAGACTTTGCGGGATCGAAAGCCAAATTCATCCCACACATTCTCTTCGATATCCCACCGACTCCATTTAATTTCGGAAGCGTCGAGAAATTCTTGGTGGTGGGATTATAGACGTAATATCTCTTATTACAATCACGGGCCGAGTTACTGCAGCAGAGCAAGAGCCCGTTGCACGATTGCAGAATCCTAACGCCACGTGGCTCGTCGTCGAAATCCAGCTTCCGAAACGGTGGATTGCCCGATTTGTTGATTGATAAGGAAACGTAATCATATGAAATACTGTCGGTGGGAGAAAGCAAGAAGAGTCCAACGGCCGGATTGGGATTAGTGTTACTGCGCATGAGGCAGAACTGCGGGTCGGTTACGAGGGAATGCCAGCGTTTGGATACTAGTTTGAAACGCACGAGTGATTTAATCGGGAGGCGGAGAAATATATCGATCAAGAGATCGTCGATGGAATTAACAATTTGAGCAGATGAATGCGCTCTTCTAAAGGCTTTGATATTGGTTTTCATGTTGGGAAGGATCAATCAAGATTTAGGTGTGTTATTGAATAATTTGGTTCTATAGTATTTAAAGTGTGTAGCTTTTTTTTTTTTTTTTTTTTTTTTTTTTTTTAAGCTATAGATTGCTTTGGAAGCTATATGAATAATGGTTGACTAATCCAAATAAGAGTATTGCATAACAAGCTTTTGATGGTGTGTCCCCATATTGCATAACAAGCTTTTGGATTTTTTTCAACATGATATTTTAGATATACAAATGATTATGGTTTCTTTTTTTTTGATAAATAACGATGATTATGGTTTCAAATTTGACTATTTTGGATGAATAATTTGAGAGAATTTAATTTTCCAAACTATTTGATTATGTCAAGTTTCACTTGTTTTTTCACACGTTTAATATTTTTATATTATATATAGTTATTTGTTCATGATTAATTATAATTAAAGTGATGTTTATTTGATTTTTAGTGAATACAATAATATTAGACTGTATCAATCAAATCATATTTAAATTAGATATAGACTTTTGGAATTGTGTTGATAACATTAACAAATACCAGAGAGTGTTTGGCTAAACTTATAAGATGTTAACCAAAGTTTATAAGATGTTTAAAAGTTTATAATCTCTTTCAAAGTGTTTGGTAATTAAAAAAAAATGGTGGAGAGCAAATAAAATCATTTTTAATAAATACCTATACACCACCTTTTCTATTTAAAATCTTATAATTAATAAAAATAGCAAATAAGCTCATTATGCAAACATTTCTAAAAATAAGATGTAACGCAACATTTTATCATCTCTTAAAATATCTTATCAGAAGTAAAAGCTTAGCAGCTATATAAAATAAGTTTAGCGATGAAAAGTTCTTGGAAAAGTAAACCAAACATTGTCATTATATGTTTAGGAATGTTGATGATATTACAGCGGGATAATTACACATATTATACATCTTTTTCGATTTCGGTCTTTAAATATTTTGTGACACCAAATTAGTTCCAAATAACCAATTTTTTTTTTTTTTTTAATTCAATTTTGGTCAACCATTTGAAATTGCAAGAGAAGCCAAAATAACAATAATAAAGAAAAGAAGTATTACAATATTATTATTATAACAATAAAAGCCAAAATAATAATAATAAAAAAGAAAAGAAAAGAGGAGTAAAATACGTTTTTTAAACAAGCCCGGACGCCCGCGTTCAGTGGAGAAGAAGATGCAATCGAAGAACTGATCCCACCCCCACCCCCACCCCCACCCCCTTTGCATAGTCGACTCCACTTTCTCTCTCTAACTCTCTCTCTCCTCTCTCTCTCATCTCTCTCTCTCTCTTCCAATGAAATGAAATTGATGGAAACCTTGGATATAAACAATCGTATATATTGACGCACACACTTGCACGACAAACAGTGGTTCAACCATCTGACACCGACTTCCCAACTTCGATTTGCGCCTAATCGGGAGTAAGATCAACCCCAATTTTTATTTTTATTTCCCCTCATTTTCCCGATTTCAGATCACGTACAGCTCTATCGATATTCATCCGAGGTTCGAATTATTCAATTTGTTTGAAATATTGCCGCTGATCGCCTCCTGTTTTTTTGGTGATTGACCCATTCGATTTCTTAATTACAGGGGTGGGTGAGGAAGAAGAAGAAGAAGGGAAGATGGGTGAGAATAAAGGGTTTCAGTTGGGGACGATTGGGGCTCTCAGTCTGTCGGTGGTTTCATCCGTTTCCATCGTAATATGCAACAAGGCGCTTATGAGCAGTCTGCATTTCATTTTTGGTCAGTCAATTTTTTTAATTTTTTTTTTTTTTGAGATTTACTATCCTGGTACAGATAGAAAATTAGGGGATGGCCAATATTTCAGGATTTCAACCCTTTACTCTTGACATGTGTTCTTTTTCACGTGTTTTGTGCGCTTTACGACGTAGCTCTTAAGGCATTTTTCTTAGCTGCAAAGGAAAAATAAATAAATATTTAGCAGAATATGTTAGATCAGCATTATGATTCCTCTTTAACTGATTAGGCTTTGTTGCTGGTGCAATTGTTTAGGATGTGGATTGAATATAATTTCACCAATACTTGTTTTCTTTGTTTCCTCATATCGTAAAGAAAGCAGACTCGAATTCTGATAACATCTCCGGTTATTTTTAGGCATGATGTGGTTCTTTTCGTTAGATATTGAAAGCTTTCTCTACTTATGCTGTCATGTTGTTCTGCCTCGGATTTATTTCGAGGACGAGATGTTAAGAAAAGGAAGATGATGGCATTATTGTGATTCTTTTTTTTTTTTTTTTTTTTATTATTATTGCAGCTACAACTCTGACGAGCTGGCATTTGCTGGTAACTTTTTGTTCTCTTCACGTGGCGCTGTCAATGAAATTTTTTGAGCACAAACCGATAGACTTGAAAACTGTTATTGGATTTGGTATCTTGAATGGAATTTCAATTGGGTTGTTAAACCTCAGCTTAGGTTTCAATTCAGTTGGTTTCTATCAGGTAAGATTTTTCTTCTGTGTTCTTCGTCTTCTTCTTCTTATGGTGTGACCTTGATCTGTTTCTCCTCGGTTTTCTGAATTAAAAATCTGTTATATGACCTTCACAGATGACGAAGTTGGCAATCATACCCTGCACAGTATTACTGGAAACCCTTTTCTTAAGCAAAACATTCAGGTGGGTTATTGTACATTCTATGGAAACCGGTTAATGTCGACATGGTTATTGTACATTTCATACATCTTTGAGTAAGAAATATTTGTTCTGTAAGGTTAAGATAGTTTTAGTACGTTTGGTTTTCTTGATTTATTTTCTGCCTCTAATACTTGTTCAGTTTTGTTATTGCAGTAGGAGCATTAAGCTTTCTCTGTCCGTTCTGCTTCTAGGCGTTGGAATTGCAACGATTACTGATCTGCAGCTCAATATGCTAGGATCTTTTCTCTCTTTCCTTGCAGTTGTTACTACCTGTGTTGCTCAAATCGTATCCTTTTCTCCATTTCTATTCATCGTTCTCTTACTTCAGTCCAATTCATGTTCTGCTGATGAAGAAAATTATATAAGAAATATACCACCAAGAGATTACTGGATAGTTGAGAAATCTGGTGGAGCTTGGATATATGGATAATGGATGTTGCTCAAAACGTAAAAACATGAAGAAACTGAATGAAAAACTTCTACGTTGGGAAAACTCAAAAACAGCTGACAGATAAAGAAATTGCATTAGTATTGATTGTAGCACAACTAACTCGCAAATAGAATGCCCATAGAGTGTATATTAAGCCTTATTGTATTAGCTAGCAGCAATGTCAGAGTCGAAAAGCTAATGTTTTATCTATGTATCAGGGAGAGTGTGGTATTTGGTACTATGGTTTCTTAACCAAGATATAGCCACCCGATTTCTCTCTTTCAGAAGTCAACTTCAATTTCGGACAGATAATTGCCACCATGTGATCTTATAAAGCTCAAAACCTCTAACTAATTTTTTGAGAAGATATGTTTTCTTTTCCTCAACTAGACCCGTCATAATGATCGCATTGCAGCATTTTATTGGTTTTTGGCATTCAATTTTCAACTCGTTTAGGTGACACCCTCTGAAAATGAACCGTCGTGCACATTGTCTTCCATTTAATTTCATGATTATTTTTTGTTTGATATCTTAATCAGTTTCTCCCAGATGACCAATACCATCCAGAAGAAATATAAGATTTCTTCAACTCAACTTCTATATCAATCGTGTATTTACCAAGCGCTGATCTTGCTTATCACGGGTCCATTTCTTGATCAGCTTTTGACTCAACAAAATGTGTTTGCTTTTGAATACACACCACGAGTAGTGGTGAGTTATATGATGAATACGTTGATATCTCTATTAGTGTTTTCTTGGTAAATTGTATCTCGACCTGAATCTGTTGATGATATTTGCAGGTTTTTATTGTTCTATCTTGTCTGATCTCTATCTCGGTTAATTTTAGCACATTCCTTGTGATAGGAAAGACATCTCCTGTCACATATCAAGTTCTTGGGCATCTCAAAACTTGTTTAGTCCTAGCATTTGGTTACGTTTTACTTCGTGACCCGTTTAATTGGAGGAACATTTTTGGGATACTAGTTGCGTTGGTTGGTATGATTTTATATTCATATTATTGCACTCAAGAGAGCCAGGCAAAAACTGAAGAAACATCACTGCAGAATAAGGTAGTTGCAATGCTGTCTGTTCTTTAACGAGGCTTGTTTTCTTTCTTGAACAATGGAATATACATGCTATATAGTGCTAAGCTCTATGTTTCTGATTTATCCAGCTAAATGAAGCTGAATCCGATCCCCTTTTACACGTGGAGAATGGTGCCACGAAGCTAAACGATCTTCCTATTTCGAAGGGCACATTTTGGGAAGCAGATAAGGATTTGCGTGCTTGAAGGACCGTATTTTGGTAATACATGTTCGGCTTTCTTGACTTAATTTTTCCTGCGGCATGCAAATGCAAGTTCAAGATAAAGATAAAGATGAAAGCTTTCCTCGATTACAGAGCATTGTCGTGAAAACTCAAGGAGTACTCTTCTATTCTCCCTGGCTTAGAAATTTCCATCTATGACATGCTAACACTCGTTATTGAGATTCTCTTAGTTGACACTATTGCTTCTTGTGATGAAAATAAGAAATATTTCTTAAATATATTAGTTTCTCTGTATACGAGCCCTTTATCAACAACTCGGATTAAAACTTCAATTTTGGCCATAGTATATCTAATTTGATATCGATTTTTGATTTTCTGCATTCTTTGCATGTCCTACTTATTTCATTCCTCTGTTACTATATAGGAGAATGTTCGAGTATATGTTTGACCTAGTATAGTATTTATGCATATGAAAACATGTGGAGACGATAAAGATAGTTTAGGAACATAAAAAGAGATCAACTCTCTGATTTTATAGTAGCAAATACTTATTTTGGTCATAGATACAGAGAATTGGTCCATTCCTACTTTTATTACACCTCATTTTCATCGTTCTCTCTTGACATGCATACTGTATCCTTACAACATAGCGCAATCCTAGACCCTAAACATAATATGTTCAAGTTCATGGATCTGCAGTTGTCAGTTTTGAACATGTTCAGCTGAGCAGAGGGGCTTCCAAGTCATTTCCCCTACCTTCTTTTCCCTGTGTTAGCTCCTTTGCTCTGCTGGCTTGCTGTGTCCAATCTGTGTAAAAGAGAGTGCAAACCATCATGCACGTGCATGAAACTTGTGCTGCCCCGAGCCCAAACCACAGCCCAGCAAAGCCCATCTCGAACTGAAAGGCCAACAAAGCTGCAACCGGTAAACCAATAAGATAAAACGACACGAAATTTATACGACAGCCCATATTCGGCCTAGCAGAGCCCACCAAAATCCCACATGCAGCTGTCTGTGGGCAGTTACCCAATTCGCAGAAGCCCAATATAGGAAGAGCCATTGATGTCAAATCAAGAATCTTTGGCTCACTTGTGAAAAGCTTACCCCAAACATCTTTCACTGCAATGGTGAATAGGAAGGCCAGAATTCCCCACACAGCTGCCAAAGTTAAACCGACGGTAGTTGTCCTTTGTGCCTGTTCGGGCTGATTAGCACCTAACTCATGGCCTATTAGTATCGACAAGCCCGAGCCAAAGGATGAAGGGAACACATAGAGCAAGCTTGTGGTTTGTATTAGAATGCCCATCGCTGCAACATTAGCCTGTGGGTTGCTTAACAGACTGCAAAGCAGTAGCAGTATTTCGTAACACCACCACTCTAGGCACACTGACAGCACACTCGGGCCCGCGAGGGCGAGGAGTGGCTGCCAGCTGTCAAAGAATGTGCTAGCTATTTCCCCACCCCAAGGTCTAAGTGAGGTTTTCGACAGGAACAGGTACACCATCAGACCAAGATTTATATTGAAAGTGTTCCATGCAGAGGCTAGTGCAACTCCTCTCACTCCCAGATTTAAATACACAACTAGGAAGTAATTGATCGGACAGTGAAGAAGCATCGCGACTATTACCGATACAGTGAGCGGTCTGTTGATGTTTTGAGTCCTCAAGAATGTCCGAAGGGGATGGAAATGCGCCAGCGCAATCAAGTCGGGAATCGAATACTGTAAGTAGATCCTTGCCACTTCTGCCACATTTGCATCTTGAGCTAACCATAAAAAGATAGATCCCATGTTAAGCCACATCAGAGATATCGGAATAATTGCAGCTAAGAGGAGAAAGAGAGTCTTTCTGTAGGTTTTGGTCATAATCGACCATCTCTTTGCTCCGTAAGCTTGATAGCATATCGGCTCCATACCCATGGCCAGACCTTTGAGGATAGAGTACCCTGTTATGTTGGCAAAACTGATTGACAACGAGCCCCCAGACAATGCAATATCTCCAAGATGTCCTAAGAACAGCATTGAGATGAAGGACTTTGAGTACATTAGCAAGCTTGCTAAAATGATGGGGCATGCAATTTTCGACAAAGATGACAGCTTCTCTGCAACCTGCATGGTAATATTTTTAATTTATAAAAATAAAATAAAAAATTGCAGATGCTTGCAAGTGATGATGACTGAACAAAAATGGGGGAATTACTGATCGACTGGACAAAAGGGGGGAAATTGTGGATTATATCTTGTTAGCGATTACCATGAATTTTAGGGCCATGATTGATTATGAAGAGGATTTGATCTGTGAGCTTTTTAACCTTGAGCACTTACACTTTCCTCGTGTTTTTTTTTCTTCTATGTGTTCTGATTATACAAGAGCCTATTTACAGTCTGTTTGACAACTGAATTCTTGGTGAAGTTGAGTTAGATGTATACGTAAGCCTCTTGTTATTAAATGAAAAGCAGAATATCATGGAAAGGGAATGGGAAAGGGAGAATCTATAACTTCATGCATGTCTTAAACGTGTAATATCTGTGCGTTTGTTGGAACATTTCTTCGTAAATGTGGTAGGATGGGATGAGTTTTATGTGCTTACGTGTTACTGAAGCTTTGTACGAGAATCTGATGCCATTTGGCATTTTCCGTGTTGTAGGTTCGATTTATTTGTCCGTGTATAGAAGTTTTTTTGCTTTCTTTATTCGCCATCTTTATATCTCAAGCACCAAACATGGTTATATATTATTTCTGTTTCTTTCTCTTTTTTTTCTGCACTATCCCCTCTTTGGTAGATATTCGGTAACGTTTACTGAAACTCAAGTTTCCACATTCTGAGTGGTGATAGGAGGTAACTGTGCAAAAAATATTATCTTTACTTTGAAATTAGAACACGAGTTACTACTCCATGTCGCATCTCGTTTTCCGCCAGAAACTTTTCCATGTTTATCTAGCGACTTTCTGTTCCTTGCATATTCCTTTATTGATCTTATTCTCTTTGAAAATGCCGATTTTGGGAATATTAAGAAACATGTACATTTTTGTTTTCTGGTTTTATTTGCTTTTTTGCAATTGAAAATTGTAAAACTCTATCCAATTTGGGAAAGAAAATCTCTACATATCTTTTGATTAATCAGTTATGTGATGAATATTGCATCAGTGAACTAGCATGGAACAAACAGTAGGTGCCTTACTGTTGACTTTTGGCTTGATTACAATTACTAAATAATCGTCTTTGACTTTCTTGTACCAATTCACATGCTTGGTGGCCGGCGTAAGATTCATTTTACTATGGAGTTAGATCGACATTTACTTCTATATGCTCTGCTTGTAACTGAAGAACTGCAACTGTCAAATCCATGCCTTGATTTGAGAAAGTAACCGGTGTTTGCAGTTGCTATTTTGTCGAATGCTAGATTGAAATAATTGTTAGGATACGAGATTAACAAAGTAAAGACGAGTAAGACTGGATATTTCTATTTCTTGGCTTCATATCTCAGGT